TGTTGCCATCGGCACTTTTTGTTGCCGGTCGGCACTGTTTTTTGTCAAAATGACATTTTTGGGCAGCCGACCACTGTTCATCTACTTTATGTAGATATTTTGTGCCAGCTGTGATAGCTGGCACCAACTCTGCTTCCCTCTATACACGTGTATGGAGGAATTTCCTTCTAAGCAAGCTTGTTGTGTAAGCTTGGCAAGAGGGACTTCTATAAGAGGAGAGGCCTTCTCCTTGCTCTAGGTTAAAGACTTTGAAGGCAAAACCAGAGCTTACACATATAGATATACCCTCTCTCTATATTTCCCTCTCTCTCCTCCCTTGTGTGTGTTTCTTGGCCTAAAAGTGTGATTTTACCTTACTTTTGCACTAATACACACACTATTACACCTTGCTCCGAGATTGAGGGACTTTGAGGGTTGATTCTTGAGCTTTTGGGCTGTTTTTGATCAAAAGAGGAGGGCTGCATTGGCTATTCTTGAGGTGTGCTTCAAGGGTGAGCATTTTACTTTAGTTTCCCAAAACTTGTACTAGTCTTTTACCTATCTTGCTTGCTGATTTAGTTTTTGTGCATAACATAAAAAAGGCTTATATTTTCATGCTTAAGAACTTTCATTAAGGGTCCTTTGTGGTTTGAGTTCAAACTCACTCTCTTAGGCCTTATTTGGCCTTTTTGTTGCCTCTTTGTTCAGGCCTTGTTTGCTTAAGTGTTTTGGTCTTTTCACCACTGAAAACCAGTGGATTTTCAGTGGTGAGGAAGGTGGTTTGAAGTCTTGCATAGGGGAGGGACACCCCTCTCCCTTCATTGTCTTATTTCCTTGCATTTTGGCTTAAAGGGTAACATGCATGCTTGATTGGTTTTTGCCCTTTTTCAGAGGTTTTTGGGTGTTTTTAGGTCATATGTAATCTCTGTTTTTTGTCGGATTTGTGCCCCTTTGCATGCTTAACATACTTGTTTTACATTCCTCCATTTGGCCTAGAAATGTGTCTCATGCTTAGGCCATGATTCTTGCATGCGTTGGCTTAGTTCCATGAAAGTGTTGGCATTATTTTACCATGTTTAAGGTCTGTTGGCCATCTATTTCAGTCATGCTTGCCTTATTTGGTGTCCTCTCTTTGTGTTTTGGCTTGTAAGCTTTGAGCATTTTGACTTCTAGCATGCATAGCTATGACCATCCTCATGATTTGGCATCATTTAGGATCATTTTTTTTCAGCCCATAAATCATGTTTGTATGTGTGCATGTGTGACCTCTTTCATGCCTTGAGGGTGTGCCCTCTTATGCCTAGAAATGAGCCTTGGTGCATGCATTCCTTTGGAGCCATTTAAGCTGCCATATCAGTAGGTTTGGAGTCCATTTTGCATGATAAATTTCTGTTTTGGCTTGTCCAATTCATGCCATGAGTGGTCATGTTGGTGTGAGTGAAGTGCCCCCTTTTGTGCCTTAACCTTAGGACCATTGGCTTGCTTGTTGGCATGAGTATTTGTCTACCCTTTTAGGCACTTTTGGCCACTGTTTCGGGGTGGATTAAGGTCTGCCCTTTATGGTTTAAAGCCTCTTTGCATGCTTGTCTTATGTCCATTGCATATTTGCTTCATTAAGTGATGTAATATGTTGATCCCATTGCTCAAATTGTCCATGTTTACATTGCATTTGCATTTTGCATGCCTAGCATTGCATACTTGCCATATTAGTTGCATGGCATTTGGCATGCCTTGCATTTCCAATCCCATGTTGTATCTTTGAGGCATTGTTTGCATAACATGTATTGCATCACTTGGTTTGGGGTGTCAAACCAAGTGTAAGGGTCAAGGAGCATTCATACTATAAGTGATGTAATGCGCCTTGACTCTCGGTCACCGGGGCCCTTGACTTCGGTATGATAGGGTCTTGGTCCTCATTTGTGTGATTGCATGCATTTTTTTACATCAAGTGGCAAACTTGATCTCTTGGGTTATCATGCACCATTGATGGCTCGAGGATCGAGGGCCATGCTTCCCTGAATTCAAAGCATGATGGGAAACATGACTATGTTCACATGTGCCTAAAATCCCATGCCATATACTGTCTGTCTTCTGTTGCTGTCAAAACTGGCCTCTGCAGGAACCTTCTGCTGACCGGCAGAATTCAATACCGACCGGCATTGTGTGAATGACCAATAACCCCAACAGCAGCCGATGGAAATTATACAGGGCCGGTGGGAATTTCCTCCAGCCGGTGGTACTCTTTAGCATGCAAGGAACCTGTCCTAGGACTTTGAAAATTTTCAGAGAGACAAGGCAGTATAAACAGAGGCGGCAGCGGTATGGTACGGGCTTTCCGGGCGAGCCAGATTTCGAGCATGCATCATTCGCGCATCCCGAGGCGGAGGCTGTGGCTACCTTTCTCTTTTTTTTTTTTTTGCATTCTTTCTATTAATTAATTAGAAATTCTGTAATAATTAATGTATTTGTTATTCGGACTGTAATATTTATTTGTACCCTCCAAGTGGGGGGCAATTATGTAATAAGTGTGCGTGAGTGGGTGTATGTCTTCCAACCCCACGTCTTTCTTCCCTTTTATTTACCTGAGAACTTGAGTCGAACTCATGGGTACATCACGCTAACTGCATTTGTATTTCAATTTACAAATCGAATATGTGATAATTGATCGCATTACATGTGCCATGATTAGGTTAACCGAGCCTATCTAAATTGCATCTTGTATGTGT